ACGTACGTACGTACGTACGTACGTACGTAGTACGTACGTACGTACGTACGTAGTAGTAGTAGTAGTACGTACGTACGTACGTACGTACGACGTACGTACGTACGTCGTACGTACGTACGTACGTACGTACGTACGTACGTACGTACGTACGTACGTACGTACGTACGTACGTACGTACGTACGTACGTACGTACGTACGTACGTACGTACGTACGTACGTAGTAGTAGTAGTAGTACGTAGTAGTGTAGTGTCGTGTGTGTGTGTGTGTGTGTGTGTGTGTGTGTGTGTGTGTGTGTGTGTGTGTGTGTGTGTGTGTGTGTGTGTGTGTGTGTGTGTGTGTGTGTGTGTGTGTGTGTGTGTGTGTGTGTGTGTGTGTGTGTGTGTGTGTGTGTGTTGTCTGACATACCTAATTTGACTTGCATTTTCCCCTGCCTGTATGTCAGATATGTGTCCCTGAATAGCACGGGCCAAAGTATGAGAAATTGCCCAATAGTTTTAGTTCTACAATGAATGACAAATAGTATGATACAAACATTTATCAATTCATTTTCTCATCATTTAAGAAAATATTTAATACAACAAAAACAATACAGACAGGGCAGAATGTACACACTAAATGTATTTTTACACCGTTTCTCAGACCGCAGCGGCAGCAGAATACAGATATGAATTATAGAGTAATAATGAAAGAAGGAAATAAGACATATTCTACTAATTTATCCTTATAACATTTCAACGTAAAGTCTCCGTGAGCACTTAATAAAAAAAAAAGCTGAATGTTATGATTTAATTTATTACAGTATAAATTAATGTAAACGTTTTTTAGATAAAAAAAAAGGTCATTAATCTTGCATAGACTCTGTGTGTACGAGCTTCGTTCGGTTGTGGTGGACCATAAGGCTGAAAAGGCTAATGTGAAACGTTCTTATAATGTGGTGTATTGACAGGTGACAGGCGGCTGCCCACAAATAGAGGTTACACTGTATGTCTAGTACACATATCAATACTTGTTACAGAATATTAGCAACATGACCTTTAGAGTTATGAGTGTTGGGTGATATGCACACCATTTTGTATAATGCACAATACAGTCGTGACTGTTTAAGAGTAACAATTGTTGTTGTATCTAACACTGGGTCAACATATATATATATTACACATTTAAATGTTGCTTAATTTATGTAGTGTTTGATGATGCAACCACTATGAGAAAACTGCAAATGCTGCATATATAAATGGTTCCATGTGGGCATGTCTTTGCAACGGCTCACAGCTTCCCCTAGTGGTTTATAATGTTCTCAATTATCCACTGTAAATATATACATGTACATCTATAAATACACTGAGTATACAACATGTTGTTTACAAATCAGTTTATTGTCTTAAATTCTGCCTGTGAAGTCAGACAATTATGTGAGAGTTTTAAAAATGTACAGGTTTGTAATTGTTGTATGAGTAGTAGGTAGGTACTCATTATTATATTGTTCTTGAATTAAATACTCCTGTTTGGTGTGGTTTCAGTTTTTTTATTGAAAACAATTAAACATTAGGAGAAAAAATATCCCTCTAGAAGATGTTTCAAATGATGGGAATTATTTATAAATATATAAAAAAGGTATTAATTTATTTGTCTTTATTTGTATTCTGGATGTCTCTCAGGGACATCATCCATGATAGGATATATTAAACCTGCAGCAATCATTATCCCAGCAATCATTCAAAAAGTGTACATTGATAATTGCACGAGGGTCAGCACATGATCAAATCAAATATAAATCAAAGCAAAGGCTCGGCTACATGAAACTGAGATTGAATTTAAGTGAGTAAGAGTTGCTGTCACATTCATATTCATATGTGAAATCAATGGATTCTATGGATGCTATGGATTCTGGACAGTAATTCAGAAAAACAAACAAACGTTGTTTTAATTTTCACAGTATGTTAGATGAAAACGATTTTAAAAAGCTTCTATGGAGTGTAGTGGACAACGAGAGTGTGTCGGTCATTGTGCCGGCTGAGGATCTGACGCTGGGAGGAGCTGAGGGAGGCTTGTCTGTGGACTGGGAAGAACCCAGATAAGGCTGTCCTCGCAGTTGGGTTCTCCTTTCCGTGAAGAGACTGGGATTCTCCGCTGCACTTCATGAAGGCCACGAAGCATCTATAAAACTGTGTAAAAGTGCAAAAGAGTATTTATGAATTGAACTGACCTGCAAATCCCAACAAAAGCTTTCCCAAGACAAATCAGTAGGACACGTGACATCTATTCCATATACAGCTGTAGGGGAGAAGAGCTCTTTGGCTACCATAGGGAACATTAAACTATCTAGTGTGCTGCATGTAGCACCTGAGAAGTGGTACTGAAGAGGCGCTGAAAGATAAATAACTGGCTGAGACTGAGCCTCCTCAATGCCACAGAAGTGTTGTAATGAGTTCTCCTCTGTGGAAGAAACACCATCCCTCTATTTTCCTCCAAGATGAGCTGAGCATTAATTTGCCCTTTAACCAACAGGTCGTACATCTTAACCCTAACCCTGCCCTCGGCTCTAACCTGGTTGTTGAAGAACACGTAGATGATGGGGTTGATGACGGTGCTGAACTTGGCCAGGACGGAGGGCACCACGCTGACCACGGGGGTCACCAGCCCCGACCTCCCAAAGGTGGCCACCAGCGCCATGATGCCATAGGGCATCCAGCACAGCATGTAGCAGGACACCATGGATAACACCATCGCCATAATGTGCTGCTCTCTGCGATGGGCTGCCAGCAAATTGATCTTACCCACCTGGAGGCAGGGAAGAGGAGAGGGAGAGGGGGAAGAGGTTGAACCTAATAGTCCTACAAATACAACACTAAAAGATAAGGCATGGTCATGTTTGGGTCATTTGAAACACAGACTCTCAGAGTGTCTGAGGTAGATGAAAAGATGGTGGTACGCTGCTCATGCCTCTCCCTCATGCGTTGAACATTTCTTCATTTGGCGCCATCCAGTGGAAGTATTAAATCAAGACACTATGACACATAGCGATGCACGCCCACACACTCCTCCTCCTCATGGACCAAACCTGGTGACAATGAGAAGAACGAAGTGACTGATCGCAACAGATAGACGGCTCTGATCTTCAGATTGTTGAATTATTCTACCAACTCTTTCTCAGCTTTATGGCTCACTTAAGCGAGTTCTATATTCTCATTAAGGTTGTGGGAGGATTGAAAGCTCTGAAAAAGCTTATATGTCAAAAATGTGTTGGGATTATTTTGCACAACCAGTTTAGTAGTTTGTGGAGTGGACAATTGTACAATTTAGCATTGCTGCTACAATGGGACAATCAGAGGGCTCCTTTCAATTTCCCAATCACATGGCTATTTGCTCGGCCAATAAGAGGGCTCAACACCATTTTTTTTTATTGAATTGAAGCATATTTGATATTCTGGCTTTTTCTCCCATGCATGATTCAAGCTCCCCAAAAACTGGGTCTTACATTTCTCATAACGCGATTTGATCGTTTTTTTTCATTAGACCTTTCGTGCCCTAAACGTTGTGCAGCGTCTATTAAGCAACAACTCCTAGAGTGAAACATTTAACTTTCTCAAAGCCTATAGGTGACAATTAAATAGCGCTCATAACTTCAACCCTAGTTTTTTCTCCAAGTCCAGAGTCGCAGAATAGGGTTTCAGAGTCAAAAATGGTTCTAGATAATTGTATAAGATTTATTATGATTTTTAAATGTGTGTTTTACGTGTTTAAAGAAAAAACTGCAGATGAATGCAACAAGATAATCAGTTGAACATTTCCAGCAAGTATGACTCATGCTAATCGTAACATTACAGTCAAAAAAACAATATCATTAAAGATAGTCCAGCAGCATTGGGGCCATTATTTGCCGTTCATTAAATGTGTCCTGCTGCTTTCTCCTGATGTGCAGTAGCTGTTGTGCTAAAATGAGATCATAATAAGCCATGTGTCGAGTGTTCCCTCTCAGCTGTGGTGATTGTCACCTCCTCAGTATGGATTTCACACCCCTGTGGACACAGTTTTGTGTAATCACCACTGTGATGTTCATGATGGTGCTTCATGAATACATGACCATGTCTGCCTCTAGAAGGAAGCCCTCCAGAGGACAAAATGTGCCCTTTCTATCAAATCACTGCACACCTCTCGCACGCTCAATTACATTTCACCTTGTGTGGTGTTAGGTCACAACCTTTGTGGCTCTGTCTCCCCATCCCCTATCGAGTGATAAGTATTCTGACAACGTTCAATTACCAGTGATTTATGCATGGCTGCACTTTGTTTGAAACGTTGCCCACATAATCTAATAAATAATCAAAGCTAAATCCGACTAGCAAAACTCAATACTGTCTCATCTCAACTAAAAGACTAAAATATGAAAATCAAGCCGGTCTACAGAATTGTGCTACATGAAATCATTATGATAAGACATGTTCAATTGTGTCTTGTGTTTTAGAACAAATTCTTACGAAATGTGTCCATTTTAAATTCAACAAGACATTAGTATGGAACACTAAATCTCAAACGTGAGTGTGCTTTATAGACAGCGTCGTGAGTTGAATCTAAATGTGATTCTGTCATGCGGAGAGAATAACCATCTGAGCCAAACTGATCCTGTTTATAAGCTTTTGAAAAAGCAAATAGATGCTCCAGACTGGTTACTCAGTTTCTTGAGCCTGAGGCGGGCTCTCAGTTAAAGGGAGGCTGGTGGGTGCTGCTGGGCCCCCATTTACGGAGGCATCCATCAAATCTTTTTTTTAATGGAGGTGCTTATATAATAGCAGGTATCCAATAGTAACACATTGCTCCACACAATCTATAAATACCTACAAGGGGATTGACAAATGTGAGTATAGC